TTTGGGCTATCAATGGAACCTTGCTGATGACACTCTTTCGGTGGTACTCCTGATGTTAGTGAACGCCCTCTTAGGACTAGACGTGACTGTTTTCAGACGTTGGGTCGATATTTTGATCCACTTGGTATCCACATCGAGGCAGCGGCGAGGGAAAGATGGCTCCTTCGACAAGTAGCTCAGCTGACCTCTACGTGGGATTCTGTTGACGTCCCAGTTGAGGTAGCTGAAAGTATTCGAGCATTTTTTAATAGTGAACTTCCACCTCAGCCTCGTTTTACTGATATCCGCTCCGGCATTGTAATCTTCTGTGATGCGGCTGGGACAGGTTGTATCTGTGCCGATGCAAGAGCGATTTCGACTGGTAGGAGAATTGTTGCACGTCAACGTACTCTGAACTCCTCATGGACTATTGCTCGTTTAGAGCTCTGCGGGTTGCTCCTTGCTGCGGAACTTCTAGCCGTTCTTCTCGAAGAGATTGATGTAGTAACGAATGACGGTTATGAAGTTGGACCATTGTGGATTTTGACCGATTCTCAGCTTAATGCGTGGAGGCTCCGTCGATCACCTAAGCTTGATGAGAAGTACCTGCCGAAGTTTGAGCTCCGGCGTATGATGAGGCTGCGCAAGCTACTCTCTGATCTATCTCATAAATGCCATCATGATATTCATATTGGCAGCATTTCGGGGGCGGAGAATCCTGCGGATAATGGAACGCGTCCGGGTATGATAGATGTTCCAGCTAGGATGATGCCTTTATCTGGAATGAATATTGAGCTCACTCTGAGTAAGGTCAAGGTGGTCTCTACTTTCTCTCCCACCCCCACCTTAGGCTATGATGAGGTTGAGGATGAGTTGGACGTCGTCTTGTCTTCGGCTGATGCATCAGCTAATGCTGTGTTGGATCTGCAGAAAGATACTCCTTCCCTGGAGCCTAGCGAAGGTCTTCGGCAGCTGTTACTGGATGCTCAGACCGCCGATCCTCAGTTACGGGATATTCTCAAGAAGCTCAGAGCTGCTGATGGTGTTATCGATGGTTATG